CAAGAGATTGGACGTTTTTCACTACTGCAGTGTTCCACATATGTGGGAAGATTTCCACCCTGGGTACCAGTAAGCAGGATGATCCCAACAATCCGATCGCCCTAGTTCAACACAAAGTTAAAAACAAACTATGTTGTTTTGGAATACTTCCGAATCTGTAAACGGCGAGCATAAAATGGATATCTCTCTTCACTCTCATGGAAAGGACCTCAACGGTGACGACTTCATTGATTCGCCGGAAGCTAGGATGGCAATGTATGAGAAGATGAAAAATCTAGTTGGACTTCCTTCAACGCCTTCATCTCCAGGTAAAACTGCAACATCTGATTCTTCTGCTGCTGATGACAAGGAGAATGTAAAACAATATAATTCCAGTAAATCTCCGTCAGAAAACATCAAGTCGTTTGCATCTGCTGCTCCAAGTCGAAAGGTTTCCTTTGACCAAGATACAAAAACCCAAACAAAGAAGACAGGCGGAGGAATTCTTAAAAACTCATCTACTGGAAAGAAATTGCCGAAAAATGCAGCTGAAATTCGTAAGAGCTTAGTAGAGGCCGAATCTCGAATCGGCAGAGCAAAACTAGTCGAGAAGGAGATGAGTTTTCGTGGTTTGAAAGATGTAGATGATACAGGACATAAAGACGAAAAAAATCTTTGGTCAGATGAAGCTTTGAACGAAAGAAAACCTACAAGTGAGCTAATGCACAGAGCAAGGAGTCTACGATCCTTTTCAATGAGAAAACTTAATGTTGTCAAGGAAGATGATGACGAAGAGGAAGCACCTTCTCGTCCGGAACTTCCTACTTCCAAGTCATTTGCTCGTGCACCTCCACGTCGTGGCTTCAATCACAGAGATTCCATGGAGATGATGGAACAGACAGGTCACTCGGTTTCTTTTTACAAGCCTAGAGTCGTTGACCATTTCGATCTAAAGGCTGACATTAGCCCGTCACCTTCAAAGGAAACTAAAGGAGTTACTTTCTCTGTTGTGGAGGTGAAAGAATATCCATATACTATTGGTTCGAATCCAAGTGTCTCTGGAGGTATTCCATTAACTGTTGAATGGGATTCATCTCATTTTGTGCAAGTGCCAATTGATGAGCATGAAAGAATTCGTGTGCCAGAAAGAAGAAATATGGTAGAGCTAAAGATACCAAAAGATATCCGTATTGATATGTTGCTAAACGCTGGGCACACCATCAAAGAAATTTCCTCCGAAATTAAGAAAAACGACAAACTTAGATTTGAAAAACTTGAAACAAAGCAGACTCTTTACAAAATGCCTAAAGAGGAAAAATGGGAACGCATTAGAAGAGCATTCAGCAGTTGCTTCACTAGCAGGAAGAAGAAAGAAAGAGATTTCATGGAAAGAGCATATTCATTTTCTTACTAATGAGGTTTTGGCAAATCTGACTTGGCTATTTTCAATACATTGTTTTCTCAGCGGCGCATTTATCTGCTTGTCATTTTAGGTTCTAAAGTGAAGTCAAAAATACTTTTTACATTTTAATCTACATTTTCTTCTTTACAGCTGTTTCATTCATCTTTTCAAATCTATCCCTACAGATTTCATAGCCTTTACCCCCAGGTCTATAGAATCTATCAACAACATACAATCTTTCTCTTCTAATATACATTTTCAGCAGGGCTACTCTGAAGAATAATTTTCTACCACACATTTGGAAGTATTTTCCAAAATGATGAAGCTCACCTATTGCTTTCGTATTCTCTTCAAGCCCCAAACTACTCATGACTCCATCGTCTTGGAATACGCCTGATTCCTTGAAATGCTTCATCAAAATTGAACATCCAACGATATTCAAAACCGTTGGTACATTCCTCCTACATTGCAAATTTGGTATGTATGCCATGTTTGGGCATTTGGCAATATGGATTCTATCAATCATTGGCTTAACATGACCAGAGAAACTAGGAAGCTTCCATAGACTGTCATTGTCCAACAAATTCAGCCTCAAAATCTTCTCTTCACCTAATTGATAAATACAAGATGGTAAACATTTCAGATTGTTACATTCTTGTATTGTCAAAATGAAACGGTCACTGTTAATTCCGCTCAAAGATTTAATACCATTGCTCCAATCATCATTCTTGTCTACTTCCAGTCCACACTGCTTGAATGCAACACTGTACAAATTCGAACTCGAGTCAAAATTCTGAAAGCTATTTAGAGACTTGATGGAATTACAATTTTGAAAAACAAGTACTTTCATACTTGAAAACTGTTTCAAAGATTCAAGTGAAGATAAGTTGTAACAGTTCCAGAAGGTCAAATATTGAATATGATTGTGTATGCATCCAATGTTGATGGGCAGTTGCTCAAAGGAACAATCTATGAAATTCATAAACAATATCTGGTCGACATTATCCATCTGTCCAGGATAGCGATGAAGCAAGTATTCCATTTCTTCATATGCTTCATAAATGATATCATGAAGGGTATTGCCATTTCTCTCTGCTACATTGACATAAATTGTGCCTTTAGGTGGATATCTCTTGTCATCATCCTTGGCTTTGTATGCTCTTCCTATGATCCGAATTTTTTCGCCCTTGAATCCCAATATCTCTTGTGCTAGTTGCTCAGCACTATTCACCTCAGCCATTAGACAAAGTTCAAGTACAATAAGCTCAATTATGAATGGAACATATATATCTTTGGAAAAAAGAGAAAAATATCCGTCGTATGAAAAATGAGCCGTATCGGGTAGGGGGATCAAAGAGAGGACGCTTCTGCTCCTCTCTCTTCCACTCTGTTTCTCTCCACAAACTGACACACTTCATCACATCATTACAAATGAATTCATCTACAGGCCAGCCTAGAACTATAATTCAAATACCCTGTTGCCTATGTGGTACCTTAATCAATCCAAACCCTGCTAACCAGTGTGGAAGCTGCCTTGCGCAGCTGGTCGATTTGAAAGTGAGTAAGAAACAATCAAAGACGAGAATCGTTCGTGATTGTGATTTAAAGAATATCTTTCATGGTAGCATCTGTTGCAATCCCCCCCGTGCGACGGGCCGAGAGGCTCTTCCGTGTCGCCGGTTGCAAATCAGGTGCAATAGTAATATCGTAACGCACAACGGTAGTCATCTTTTCAATACGCACTACTGTTGTTGTTTACGATAACATTTCATGTCGAAGATATCGTGGTACTTTCTCAATATGTTCAATTTGAATATTACTCACGTGCCATCATTTATTTTCCAGTCCATCATGCAAAAAGGACCAGGGGGCGGTGATTTAGTAATACATCAATGTAGACAATGTAGACGTTACTCACATACAGACAACTATTATGTGTATCATGATCCTGAATCGCCCAGTTTGCTGGCACTTTGTTTGAAGAATATTCCATCCTTGACTTCCACTCATACACATCGATCGAATAATCTCGCCGGACTGACTTTGTTAGATTCCATGTGGATTTGGACTGAACCGCATTCTATGAGGTTGAAGGTCAGACTTACAGTTCGAGCAGATGTAGGTGAATCAGGTCGAGCCGTAACTGTCCAACAGCGTCTCCCTGTCGAATTTCATGTGCAATGGAAAATGTGTCCAGATTGTAATCGTGAATATACAAATCGTACATGGCATGCTTTGGTTCAGCTCCGACAAAAACGCCAGGATGAATCGAAGAAAGCCCTTGTTTTGGTAGAAATGGCCTTGGCAAAAAATTCAGAGATTCGTAAGCATGTGCTCAATGTTGATACCAGTAGAAATGGATTTGACTTTTATTTTATGGAGAATATGCACGCGCATGCATTTTCTTCATACCTATCGACAGTCTATCCAATGAAAATTAAATATAGTCAGAAATTGGTGAGTGAAGATCGAAGAAACAATACAGCAAACATAAAAACAACAACAACTTGCGATATGGTTTCATTGAACAGACACGACTTGATTGTTTGTGACAAACGAGCTGCAAAGGAGGGTTGCAGTGCTGGTTCACTGAATGGAAGAATGTGTTTAGTAAACAAAGTTTCAAGGACTCTTCAATTAGTTGATGCAGCTCCAAGTAGAACCAGTATTGACAAATGTTTTGGTGATCTTTATCCCGAAAGATACTGGAAGGGTGGTGAAAAGTTTTACAGAATAATCTTTTCCGAGAAGAGACTCATACGCTTCATAGTCATGGATATTGAATTATGTGATGAAGATCATGATTACAAATCTGGGCCTCCGAGTGATTTGGCAAAGAAATATTCTCTTGCTGATGTCATTGTCTGCAGGGAATCGGATTTCGGAGTTTCTGATGAAACTTTTCATTGTACGACCCATCTTGGAAATATCCTTGATATTGGCGATACAGTGGAGGGGTATGACTTAGTTTCTTCTGTCTTGACAGGGGGTGATGAGTGGTCTATGAATAACTCTTTCAATTCATCTTTTATCATGCCAGATGTTGTCCTAGTGAAGAAAGCAAAACCTAGAAAGGAAGATGACTTGTATGAAGAAAAAGGGACATCAGAACCAAAGACTAAGTCAAAGTCTAGTGCTTCAAAAAGACGAGAAAAACGTAAACAAAGGCAAGAGAGGAAAATGAAAGAGTTAAGTGAGTCACTTGGTCGCATGGGATTCGGTGGCGAGGACAATGATGACGACGATGCTAATTGGGATGCAGAACGAAAGGCATTCGAGAAAGAACTTGAAGATGACATTGAGCTTGCATCAGAATTTCAGTCTATTGTAGAAAGACAAGAAAAATTTGAATCAACGACAGAAGATGAATCAGTACCTAACAAAAACAATGACACGAAGGATACATAACATGGTAAAGAAAAACTATGGAGACACTTATCATCATCGACATAAACTAAACAATACTTTGTCGTTCGGCACGAAGAAAAACGCATATTCGAAGGAAAATTACGAAGTAAAGTTTCTCACCAAGATTTCGTTCATCAACATTCGTAAACTATCTCTGATTTTGAAAAGTGTAGATTTTTTACTTTTATGATGGCACTGGAAAACCAAGATCGCCCCGATGGTCTAGTGGTATGATTCCTCCTTTGGGTGGAGGAGGTCCGGGGTTCAAATCCCCGTCGGGGCCGTTTATCTTTTTAGTCCGAATGTTTTTCCACTAAATTTATTGCTTGACGTCTTGACAATGCTGATCAGCGCTTGTAGCTTGTAGTTAGCACAATCAAGACCTCTTCTTTTTCTCATTCCAATCAGTTTTCATAAACCTTTATGACTTGCTTGAAACTACTCTCACAAAAATACAGTAAAGTAGAGTACCTTATGCTACATTATTGGAGAGAAAGGTAAGTAGGCGCCTTTTCCCTCAAAGTGTTATTGTCGATACTGGCTAGATGATTCATACTCATAGTTACTATGATTTTGTCAGATATAACTTTAAATGTAAGTAAATTTATTATATAGTATGGCACTCAAATACCAACTAGCTCTATGCCGCAGCGCATTTTGGAAATGTGAAAGTTCCATCTTTTTCTTCATTCATGAAGAACTGCCAGACCTGTGGTGGAGAGTCCAAAGCAAGATGAAGAACGACCCCTTCCTTAGCAGAAGATCCGCGTAGATTACTTCCATCAAGAGCTTGAGAGCTTTGCAGTCTTTCAAAAAATAGTCCCTCCCACTGCTTATCATAGGTTGTTCCAACAGAAGGAAGCTTGATCTCTCCTTTCATTTCACCAGAATACAAGTCAAAGCTCCTGATCATCATTGCGTTATCATAGAGAACATGAAGAGTATCCTCGAAAACCTGCATCGAAGATATCTTTGTCTTGGTAATACCAGCAGACATGATCTTTTCATTGAGACGGGAAATTGGATGAAGCTTTGGGCCTTCCAAGTCGTCGTTGAAGTCAAGTTGAGGCATTTCAAAGATGTGAATCTGAGAAATATTCATAAGAGCATCATATGACGAAATAAGAAGCTGGCCTTTTCCATCAACCTCTCTATGTGCAATTCCTTCAGAGCCTTTGACGCTGCCAGCAAGCTTCCAGCTTCCTAATAACTCTGCCTTGGGCTTATTTGATCCTATCATTTCAAAAGCGAATAGCTTTGAAGGTTCATCGATAGAATACTCAGATATTGCAAATAGTATATCTCCCACGAGAACTGTAGCTTCGAAATCACCAAACTCAACTGAAGATAGACTGTGGACTTCGTGTTCACCAGATCCAAGATTAATTGCTGTAATCTGATTATTTGAAGGAACAATCGCATTATTTCTCGTAGAGTCAATTGTAATATCACTTGGTTGAAATTCAAGAAGAGAAATTCCCGAGTATGGTACTCTGTGACATTGTCCTTCGCTTTCACGAACTGTTTTAATACTATTTGATGGTAATGCATGATACAAGATTGAACCGATTCCAGTGACAATCGCAAGGGTAAGAATGATTGGCGCGAGATGATCAGTGTAACCATATGGCTTGCTATTCTTCATCAAATGTAGACGTCGAAAATAGACTGCTAATGCATACAATGCAAGAAATAGTGCAACGACAAGAAGAATCTTTGCATTGATCTTTGAACCATTATCAGCGTGTGTTTCTGCAAGCGTAAAAAGTAACGCCGAAACAGTAACAAGCAACAATGCTGCAGATATCCACTGGATAAAAGTTCTTTCCGCTGCAAAATAAGTTTTTGGCTATACAAGTTAAGAAAGGAAAGTGTCAGACGAAAACCACTAAGTATTATTACAATATTTTTTGAAACTTACCTCAATTCGTGCTCTGCTCTTTGGAGCTACCATTTTTTCTTTTTTACCACGAGGAACGCAACGGAAAGCAATATTTTTGAAGATTCCTTTCTTTTCATTCCTTAACAAAGAATCTGTTTCACTTTCAAGAGTTAAGCGAGTGATTTCACTATTGTCAAGGCTATTATCCTTGTTGTAGTTAGCCTCGATATCATCATCAGCACTGTAGTAAAACTGTGTGAAAAGAGGATACTGTGCCCAATATGGAAGCGTTTTCACATCCTTCTGGAAGTGAATAGATGCTCCTGACAAGTATTTGGAAAACTTGTGACCATCTTGAATTTTTTCTTCTTGCAAAAGAGATTCAACCCACTCTGGGGCTGCTACTCCACCAAGCTTCACTTCAAACACTCCAACCGGCATCATTACTGGATTTACATTTTTATCATCGTGTCTACACCAAGCTCCTAGTGCAGCTCCTTCCTCAGAAGAAAGCTCAATATCTCTATCAATTGTGAATCTGAGATCATTATTTGTATTGGACTGAAATGCTACTCTACGATAGCTAGACCTCACACGTGGTTGTAGGTTCTTCTTGATAACCAATTTGCGGATGCGAAGGAGTAGAGCAATAGCATCTTCAAGCTCCTTTCCTGTAGCTTTAGGTTTTGCATTTTTGACCTTTTCAGTTGCAATGTCCTTCGACCATTGGCGTCCATCACGTAGAAGAACTTCGGAGAGATCGCATGCCTTTAAAGCAACACGCTCTTTGACAGACTTGTTTTGCACCCAACGCTCGTGATGAGTTTTTAGCTCTAAAAAGATCAGCTCATGGTCTGAGGGCTTGTTCCCGTACCATCTGATTCGAAATAGCTGCGCAGCCTCTACGCGTGCAATGCGGTCTTTATACAGAACCATAGTCTTTGGAGAGTCAAAATAGATGGATGTAATAGAAGTAGAAATGGTATCCCAAATGTCCTCTTCTGAGCTGATGTTTGAAATCTTGGATGGATCTTTACCTGTCAACAAAGGTTTAAGGATATTGCTGTGTTAGAGACGAAAGAAGGGAAACTACACGTGAGGGAGTGGTGAAAACTTACCATATACAAGCAAAGGGACTTCTCCAAGACATTTTAGCATAACCTCAGTGAGATTGTTTTGCTCAATCCAATACTTATGGGTAGATCTGTCAAATACAGAAGGAGGGACCCATTCCTGATTTGCATTTGATGCATCGTTCTCGTAGAGGCATCTGATTTTCAAGTAGATCTCGCTGAGAATTGTGATCACTCTAGTGCCACCGAAAATGGACGCCCATGGATGTCCAGATACTTGAGACTTGGAATAACTGTGAAAACTATCCGGAGATCTTGCTAGGAGTGAATGCATAGAAGATGCAGTGGAGTCTTTGAGGCTAACAAGTCGCGCTGATATTTCATCAGCATGAGACTTGAACGCTTCAACTTCTTTTCTTGAAAGGAAAGAGGTAGTTTCTCCGAGAGCAGAGAGATCAGCGAGCAAAATTTTAGCATCTGCTTCTACACTGTGTAGTTCGTCTCTAATCCTCGCTTCAGCTTCTTTGACAAAAGCATCGATTTCTGCTTTGTTGGTAAAGACAGGGGAAGGGTGGTGTGTCGTCGAGTTCATGATATTGCTTTGAGGGAATGGACTGCTTTGGAGCTGCGTGAATAAGTGTGATATTATGGGAGGAGGAGAGTAACAATGAAAAGTGACTCAGAGGAAACTGGAAACTCAATCGCGTGAAAAAAGCAACTCCGTTCCACATTGGACAATGACTTTATATGAACAGGTCATTGGTCTCCAATTATTATTGGTCATTCTGGGTCTGGATCATGGAGTTTCTTTTGAATGGAAAGATACTTGGTACAAGTTGCTGTCTCCTCACCTTTTTACTATGCTGACGATACTTTACTAGCAATTCATAAGTTAAAACATATTTGGCGGACGAAACTATGCTCGTTTCCAAAATTTCTCCCATACAACGTTAAAAGCTCTTCCCATACAACAGTGACTTTTAGAATGGCCCCTACGTACAAATAAAACCAGGAAAAGTTTACACAATGACCCGCAGGCACTTAGAGACGACATTGGTTTAAAATAATACGTACGTACTTATATACGAAGACATAAATAGAAAAAGATAGAAAAGAGAAAAGGTGGTTGTTTCATGCACCGTTGTATGAAAGACTTTTTTGCTGTACGTAGTTTGCTCTCGGAGTATTTAGAACAAAAGAATAAAAAGTTTTCGGAATTTCATTTGGCCTGTATGGTAACACACGCACAATTATGATGGCTATTATTTTTTTAATAAAATAGATTTGCATAGTAGTAGAGAAAACAATGGTTGGAAATAAAATGAAATGTACTGCGGTGTTTTGATTTTTTTCATATTTGACTAGTACCGTGTCACATCGGACAAGCATGTTCAGCAAAAGGAAAATCTACAACTGTCGGTGGATGATGTTGAAAAAAAGATCGTTCACAGCAGAGAGAGGATTAACTTGAACTATGTAGCTATAACCAGAGCCATTTAAGAAAATCGTCTAAAGTTGATGCCAAGGAAAGAAGCAACACAGTCGTAGCTAGCAGCACGAACGCATCGCATTTACGAACTAAAGTAAAAAGAATTCACTTCACAATATTCTCATTATCTTTTCAAATACTTCTAATTAGAAATACTTTTACAAAACAAGCAGATTGATATGAAGTTGGCGTATTTTCTCAGCACTCTATTGTGCTCTACAGTTGTAACATCACAAGAACAAGATGCTCCTAATCTTATAGTCATCATGACGGATGAACACAATCTACGAACGATTGGAGCATATCGAGATTTAATGTCAAATGAACAAGCATTTCCATGGGGCGAAGGAGTTAAGGTTGATACTCCTCATATTGATTCCCTTGCAAAGGAAGGAGTCCTGTTCAATAACTTTTATGCTGTAACTCCTCTGTGTACCCCTTCAAGGGCAAGTTTCATGACAGGAGTATATCCCAAATTTACTGGATCCTCATGGAAAAATCATGGAAAGTTGAGAAAGAAAATAAGAACATTTGCAAAGGAAATCATATCTTCATCAGATCAGTACAAGTCAGCATATTACGGAAAATTTCATCTGAACGGGAAAAGCTTGAGCACGTCTGACTTTGGCGATCCCAACAGAAAATTTGGCTTCCAGGACATTGACTATCAATACAATAGAGGACACTGGAAGTACTTCGAGGAAACTGCAACCAATCTCACTGCATATGAGTGGGATGCAAGACAAAAGTTCATATCCAATGGACGCAACGAAGAAGATTATTATGCAACAGACTTTTTATTTCAAAAGGCAATTGATTTTATGGATAAGAAGTCACAG